AAACGCAGATAGTAAAGGTTTAAAATGAGTATCATTAGGAATGTGAGGGTAAGTTTTACCTTTTATAAGATTATTAGGTGAATATTCTCGAAAAAGCTTAGGAGGTGTGTCTGTGTATTCGCACTGTTATGGTAAATTTTTTTCACAATAAAGTGAATCCAAACTTACAATAAGTTATCCTGTCTTGCATATTTTTGTTAATTCAATCTATATTGTACATTATTTTATTTCAAGCCTAAATTTATATCCGAATTCCAATCACATAACTCTTCAAGCTCTTGCAAACTCATAGCATTTTCAAGTTATGTGACCTATAATAAATGTTTACCATCCCTTTCTTAACTTTTTGATCAAGCTTAGTCACCCAATAGTTCTTTAACAGTCTATCTTTTGTTTACATTCTTAACCTTCCCCTTCACTTCAGTCATTTACATTGTCCATCTTATTGGCTTATCCTGGCTTTGTCTATTCTAATATTATTTATAATGTAAGCAGTTGAGAGGTATCCACAAGATGATAAAAATAAGCTAATATCATTCATCTGCACTTGTATCTGCGCTGTCTTCCAATTGTTAATACCTCTCAATGGGGAGTGAATTTTGCACTAAAAAGTGCATTTGGCTATTTTCATATCAGATAAAACTTCCGACTAAAAATAAGCTATTGAATTTTTCAATCATATCTGTTACCGTCCGTACATTAGGCGTTTATTCAAGGTCAGTGGGCGACTAAATGAGTTCCAGGGTCTCATCTAGTAGATAAACGTATCTGATATCTCAAAAAAGACAAGACATACCTCCTGATTTTTTAATGAGTCAGTAGCAAAATATTTCAGTAGCAAAATAATGGATGGTAAACTCATAGTCTCCTTCCACTAATGTAACAGCATATCGTCATACCAAAATTAACGTACAATTAAATGAATAAAATTGAGTGTTGTTGTGGAGCACTAACTGTATCCTCTTTTAGATTCCAATTTCATGTATATAACGGCATAAGCCTAAATTTCATGTTAAGTCAGCCAGATAAAATCAAAAACGGAAATTTCGATTAGGAGAAATGTTACATGCTGAAGATATCAACTGGAACAGAACTATATACTAAATTGTAAGTATGGATGGGTAGTAAGGTTAACATGGTTATCTATCTTTAGCCTGTATTCAAGTAGAGAACTAAAAGATATCCCTGAATGGTCTGTGTACCGCTCTAAGCTGTATCTACTTGTCGGCATTTTTGATACGTAATCATGGTTGTAGGTGAAATGAAAAACTGGGTTGTGTCAAGATTCTAAATAGCTGCTTAAGGATTACTTCCCGTCATAACCCCTTTCGTTAATATCAGTTGTCAAAAGACGGCCACCCAAATAGTTTAAACAACAAAATGTACAACTCTACCATCTTTAATTACTTTCCACTTGGACTGAGAAGTAAATTCTTGGGTGAGAAGACGGTGCTTTTATGATGAACGAACAATTATGGGTCGTGCAAATACATGATAGCCAGGCAAAAATGTGAGGGGTTTAAGTGGAAACCTGGTCAGCAGTTGAGTCACCTAGTTCAGCTGCTGGAGTGCCAAACTGATAATACAGAGACCATTTGCCTAAATCCTCTTATAACCCAGATTTTCATTTGACATGCAGTCATCACCCTAGCTGTTTGAAATAATTCTGGTGATTATCGATTTTTGTCACTCATGTACTCCAAAAAGTCCTAAATGTGATTTCTGATAGATGAATAAAACAAAAGTCGTGATATTCAAGGTATATTTAGCAGCAGTTACTGAACAAAAACAATAGTCAATAAATCTGTTTCTAAGAGATCTCTGTTTCCGAAAAAATGACACACAACTTGTTAAAGTTACTTAAATATCACCATTAGAGGAATAAGATAATGTTTGCAAGCTGAGTTCATGGTTTTGACTGTAATAAGTTTTCTCAGCATTCAAATTGCTGTAATACCACTAAAGTGAGCTTCTGAATTAAACAGTATATACTATTCCTATATTGGGATGTATTAACTATTTACCAGAAATTTGTTTTATTTTTATTACTCATATGGTTAAGACAATTTTTCTCACTTCTGTACAAATTGAACTACTTTCATTCAGTAATGAACAGTAACAAATTTTATTCACGAATTCATTTTCCAGTTAGTTTATTTCAAGCTATCGTAAATATCTCTGATAAGTCAAAAAAAGAGATTCAGACAAAGAAGGAAATTTACTGTTAACCAAAATCTTTTAAAATTAGTCTATTCTTAAATCTTTAATTTTGTCATTCCAATAGTCCAGACACTTCTTAACAATTCTTTAAATAGCCATGACATTTTGCCTTTTACTTATTGCATATACTTTTGCTGTCACGTCTCATTACTGGAATACTTTCTAGATTGTAAATTTATCAGTCAATATTTTTTGTTGCTGACTATAAAAAATCGGCTACGATTAATAGCTTCTTTACTAAATGCAGGCTTAACGAAATATGGTAAGGTTTAACAAAAGAAACGTTCATTGTCTGCTACGTTAATATTCAACAGTTACCTAGGTTAAATCTCTTTTTTTGATCGTTGTTTTGAGTGAAATCTGGACAGTGTAGCGGCTATATCAAAACAAAAGAGATTACCTTCTTCTACGGACAACACAGCAAGGGCTGAGCTGAAAAATTGGATAAAAAGTAGGTCAGCACTGGATCGAGATAAATAAAAGGTTGTCTGTAGCATGAAGTTTTCACATACAGCAGATTCCCATAAGAATTCAGATGAGAAACCGGGCACTATCTTCTGATGGTTGTCTATAGAAGTTAAGTAAAGAGAGTAGTTCTTATTTCTCGCAAGTTGAAATCAATTACGTGTAACTTTAAAGTATCTAAGACGTTCTAGTTACCAGGCTGTAGAAGTAGCACATGAAAAGAAAGGGGAATGAAATTAGCAGAAGTACAATCTTAATATCACCTGTTTTCTGTTTCAAGGTATACAGAATATACATAGGCTTCCACCTGGACGGTCTTTGCTTAGTTCATTAGTATGAAATCACGTACTATGAGAAATCCAGCTTAAAACATTGGAAAAATAAACAGTTTTTCAATACTCCGAATACTGCACTAGAAAACTAAGCCTAACTTAGCCATGCTTACGACATTCCTGTCGGTGCATTAGTGAATCATCAAAATGTAATCTCTTGCTGAATTCACCGTTATGTTGAAAAAACTGGCTTACAAATTTTTGTAACTTGCATGAGACAATGATCAATATCTAAATAACTGTGACCCGTCGTATTTTGAGATGGTAAGAAAGATTTACTGGTTATTAGTGTGAATTTGTAGGTGCAACGAATTTCTGAATTCACTGTGAAAATCTTAAATAGAGGAATGATAAAAATACTAAGTATTTGGTGTTTGGACGTCATTATACACCTATCAGTCTATCTGCAAACGATAGACATGATAAACAAGTTAAACTCAGAAAACAAAGCAGACCGAAACTTGAGGATTTTGGTTGGGTTAAATTCAATATCAGATTGCTTGTTTTATGTAGCATACAGTAATAGGGTATTATTAACTAGATAATGTTTCAAAGCAGATTCATTGCTCATAATCAAGTAAACGTTATGTTGCGTGATATGATTCTGAGAAAATGATCGCGCTTGGGATGCCGTCTGGTATATAGTAATGTATTCCTATCTGTTACAGGAAATAAGCAACCTTAAATAAAAAACCAAGCAGCCAGCCAAGAAATTCTTGCAAGTAATAACCTAGCAATTGCATCTCGTGGAGTCACATAAAAGTACTTAACCAATTACATATGAATTGTGATCGTCCCCTTTTTTGGAGTTCATGCTGTCAATGTTGTTTAGAATTTCTTACACATGTCATGCTTGAACTATTCCAACATAATAGTGCAACCTCTTCCAACTCGAACTAATTCACAAGACATTAAACTGCTATTTTTTCATGATAAAACTCGACTTCATGTGATGTCAAACTATAAATTAAGTTCAGATGATCAAATCAATCTTTCCTGTCATTATTTCGCGGCAAGAAGCAATATTTTTCTATCAAAATGATTCAATAAAGGTTATGTTTATAGCCCATCTCATTGAATCAAAAAGCAAAATAAAAACTGCACACAGTCTTGTCCAACAGACGTACTTCCAAATCTTATGGTTGCGTTTGAATAACACCAGTTCACTGGACAGTACTGAAATATTTATGAGGATTGTGAATGATAAATCAACTTCTAAACGTAACTGTATAAAACGACGTTGCTTCAAAGTTATAAGTTTGAATCTAATCATTAACGAAAATAATAATTCAGTTGGGATTTCTATCAATCAACTGGGTACCGCATTGCAATAACCTTGATTAACTGTAAAGTCATTTCAATTACGCCTAATAGCAAATGCGTAATTGTTGAACTGATTTGAATAGCGAAAATTAGTCAACAGTTTTTATCTGATAGTAATCTCACCTTAGCAGTAGATATACGTAGTTTCTTTTAAAAATCACCTAATTTTCTAATTCAGTTTAATACTAGCGTAATAAGAATAGAATTTAGCGGATAAGACAAATTGTATTTCATTCTGATAGCCTGATATGAGTTGAACACAAGCTGGCATCTGAAGGTGGGGTTTTCTTCTTCCACAGCTAAGGGACTCTCTCCACTTCAGTCATCTTACCTTTACATTAACACTTGTATGCCAAAATAAGAATTTCTCGGGTTATGAAAAAATTATTCGTTAAGAATATAACCATACTTCACATGGAGTATATTTAAATGTTAATGTTTGGTCGATGAAAAGTAATTCTCGTAAAGATTCCATTATGTCCCCGTCTGTAGTAGTCCTTTATTTAATACCGTATAGCTAATGTAAAATGGATTTATCGTGTCAGGAAAGATCTACTCTTTTGTGCTGTTTAAGTACATTAAAATAAATAAATGTACGTAATTTTTTTCTCTCAGCAAACTAATTATACTTGAAAGAATATTTACCAATTTAACTTTCAGAATTCTTCTAATTCATGTAAGTTCTAAGCTTACTTCACCGTAATTTGTAATCATTAATATCTGAGTGCACAGTTAACATGAATATTTCCAAATAAGAGAACTGATGCATTTCATCGAATCTCAAACATCATGCTTATCATGGTTTAAAGTGACTCCTAAAAGTTATCTCTAGACATTTCTTTCAGTTTATTAAGCTGGAAGTTGATGATGAAGTCCACAAAAGCCTTTCACTCTTTTTATGCAGTAAGTAAAATCAGGGTATTATGAAAATAAGATTGTAATTACGTAGTGAAGGTTAAATATATGACAGGGTAGAAAAATCAATAAGAAATATATGTGTAGTTACCTGATACAAAATGAATCTATGCCAGACAAGGCTTTGTGATGACCATGGCAAGGATAAAGGTTGGACGTACCTTTTTTAAGTGGATGCACAACGCTGGTTTGAACTTCTGTCTATAGCTGAAGCACTAGGGATCTAGAAGTTCAAACCAGCGTTGTGCATCCACTTAAAAAAGGTACGTCCAACCTTTATCCTTGCCATGGTCATCACAAAGCCTTGTCTGGCATAGATTCATTTTGTATCAGGTAACTACACATATATTTCTTATTGATTTTTCTATCCTGTCATATATTTAACCTTCACTACGTAATTACAATCTTATTTTCATAAGTAAAATCAGTACATGCTATCTGTAACCCTGCACAATCTAACAGCTAGGTTCAATTTCCATCAATTTCTTAAAAGCACTTTACCACTGTTGTGTCAAAGTAACATGAAACTTCTGGTACAAACTTTGGTTAGCTTGAGAAGTATGTGTAACAAAATTTAGAAAAATAATAAAGATATCTAGGAAGTTAATCATGAATAATATATGAACAATAATAGTAAAACTATGCAAATGTTATAGTATTTCATTTCAGTCTGATAAGGCTGTTTCACTATTTAAGACATATGAGGAACAAATTACTGCTTCTGACATACTAAAGGCACCGAAAATACGGCAAGCATGGCATGCCTCACTAAGATGTATAGTCTCAAAGAAAGCTTTACTGATGTAGTGCAATCACTAGTAGAGTCACACAATAGAGTGAGATAAAGCAACTGTGCCTGTGTCCTACATACTTAGGTGGAGAAAATGATTGGTTATCAAGCCTTAGTTCATGAAATAAGCATCTGACACATGCCATAGGAATGACTTCACACTTATACTACCGCTAAAAACAATGAAATATCAGGTAACTGGACCATTAGATCAGATGTTGGAAGTTGTGAGATTACTTTGCTGTGGTTATGAACAATACTTTATGCTAGGAAGTCATCAACAAATAATAACGGTTCACTATGTTGCATACCAAACAAACGATTCTAATAAAGAATAATCTAGTTATTTTTATTTATTGTGTGTGCGTCAGCTACTACTGAGATCTGCTAAATGCTTGAGACAAGTAACTACCGAAATAGTTAATTACCTTTCCAGCCAAAATATTGTAAGCAGATTAACCATTTCAACAGCTGCTAGGGTAACTTTTCAATTCAGTCGTTGAAACAAGGCATACAATAGGATAAGTCACCAATTACGTGCTACTGATCCTCGTGATACGAGATTCCTCCTAAGTCATAGTTATACACGAATGCCTAGTTACTTTTCATATGGTCTAATCAGTGCTATCTGGTAAGGAAGCCTTGACATCGCCTCAATATTTTAGTTATAAACTGTTAATCTAACAGTTTGCCGTTTCGAATTTCCAGTTAAATACTTCTATGTTTGCCATCAATTTACCTGAATTACATTGGATCCTTGGAGACTAGTTTAAAATAGTCGGTAATTAAATGACCTAACTGAAAGATACGTTACTATTACTTAACCAAACGCATATGTGTTCAGTGAAGTTCCGTCTTATTTAACTGTAAGCATTTTTAGCACGTGATAATTTCATATTTGAGTAGACAAGTTCCCTTTTAGGACTTCATTCTCTACAACTGTAAAATTGTGATTAGTATAGAATTTGGACCATGGTAACGTAGCGGTCCAATATTTCCTTGTTTCTTTAGAAATGCCACAGACCAAAACGTGAAAGACTACTGCCGTATAGCTGTAGGGAATGGAATTGTTGAGAAAAATCACATCTCTGAACTCCGTTTCTTCTATAAAGGGCTAATAGTTATACCCTCATATTGGAAAAATTTCATTATGTTTTTCTTACTGTATTTTTCATTTTCTTCAAGTTAGACTTCAAGAGCCAATGACCTGGATAGCTCAAACAGCTGAAAACATAAAAGTAAGTGTTTTTTTAAGGTAATCATTCGTTTACTGAAATCTGAAGAACACATCTGGTCTCTGAAAAATGTCAAATATTCAACTGACCAAGATGAAATCCGCAGTAAATCTAGGTTTTAGGCTTACTTTATTACCCGAGGAGCCGATATCTTTTTCATGGACTCACGACAGTATGCAATATGAATATCTGCTTCTTAATTTGTTCATGGTGCTCAACTAGCTGAATTTTGTCACATTTTCTATATGATCGTATATTTACTATTTGAGCGTTAGTTAGTGAAATAACTTTCCTAGCTTTATTAGTTGTCAGTAGGTCCAGCGCACTCAGCTAAAATCTTGACATTTACAAGTAACATCTATCCTTCATCATTTTACCAAAAAAAGATCCGCGAGGTGGAATGAGTTTAGCTGAGTTCAGCTACACAGAGTGTGAGCTATAAATAGGAATACGGAAAACAACTCTAATACTTTTGGAAACAATGTGAAAATGAAAACTGTAGCAATGTGATGAAATGTGGCAAAGTTATCCGATTTTATAGTTACTACAACTGGTAGTTGAAAGACTGTTCATTTGGTTGGAATTTGAACAGTGTCGTCAGAAGAGGTTTTCTGGAACAACATGAATTTGTTGAAAATAAGCCAAATAAAGAATTGTTTTTTGGATACGAATTCCGTTTATTTTTTGATATGAAAAAAGATGGAATCTTAAATAGAAGAAGCAAGTCACTAATTGTTTATATATTAGTTTGTTTAACGGGTGTGTCAATAAAGGAAACAGTTTACTATTATTCATTTTTCCCTTGGGTTCCTAGTAGATTAAAGAGCTTCAGTAGTACTTCTCCAGTGAACTCTATTCTCTACAGTCTTCAAAACCTGGCTCCACGACAGACCACAAGCTTTCATTTCTTCCTCACATGATCTCCTCCATGTCACCCTCGGACGCCCAACTCATCGCTTCCCATCAGGGTTCCATTCGAGGAACTGGCCTGACGAGTGATGTCCTCAGTCGGCCTTCTTAGTGTATGCCCAGTCCATCTCCACTTACTTCCAGTGCATATTTGTTGAGCAATAGCTTCTCGGTTGGTTCGTTGCCAGCCACAGTTCCTTGTTGCTTATCCTTATTATTCTGGCCATCTGATCTTAAGTAACGAGCCAGAGTAGGCAGTTGTTGATGAATGTCTCTAGTTTGTTGGAAATCCCTTTCATAACGCGCCAAGTCCCTGAACCATACAGGAGCACTGACATGACATTGGTGTTGAAAATCCGGATCTTGTTCTTTGCGCTGAATGCAGAAGATCTCCACACCGGTTTCAGGCTAATGAACGCCTCTCTTGCTTTTCTGATCCTGACTTTGACATCCTCATCTGTGCGGCATGTAGTTGAAACAGTGCCACCCAGATAGGTGAAGGAGGTTACTTCCTTTAGGTTTCTCCCATTGATGCTGGTTGGAGTTTGTTGTTGTTGTTGGTGCGGTATCTTCATCACCTCTGTTTTCTCTGTATTCACTTGAAGTCCCATCTTCCTTCGCTGCCCTGCCACTACTGTCAACTTGTTAGTTTTCGCCTGTAGATCTTCAAGTTTGTGTGACATCAGACACAAGTCATCGGCGAAACCCAAGTCTTCTAGGCTTTTGCGGCGGTCCAGCCAGCGTATCCCCCTCTTCTCGTTTCTCACGGCCTGTTGCATGATCCAGTCCAGTCGACCATAATCAGGAATATCATGGGTGATAGTAGACAGCCCTGTTTTACTCCTATCTGTCTTCACTTCAAAAGCATCACTGAGCTGAGCTTCCCATTGTTAATTACTTGGCTGGCATGTGGCGTCTTCATATAGTTGTTGAATGAGGCTGATAAAGGTTTGTGGTATTCCGTAGTAATGAAGCAGTTTCGAAATTACCTCTCGGTCGACTCTGTCAAAGGCCTTCTGGAAGTCGATGAAGTTGAGGTAGAGAGTTGACTGCCATTCTGTACTCCGTTGTATGATGATGTGTAGTGTAGCGTTGCAATTTGGTCTGCACATGATTTGTACTTCCTGAAACCTGCCTGTTCGGGTCGTAGTTTAGAATGCATTGCATGCTTTAGCCTCTCCAGGATGATGCGGCCTAATAGTTAGCTTGGGATGGACAGGGACAGGAGAGTGATTCTGCGCCCGTTCTTGTAAACACTCAGGTCTCCCTTCTTCGGGAGTTTGACAAGGTAACCCTTCTTCCAATCAATCAGCAGGTACCTTCCGTTCGTTCCACACCTTCTGCAATAGTGATGTGGTGTGAGCATGTCCGCTGTTGTCTCTGTGTCTGTTCTCAGTGCTTCTGGCGGGATTACATCTGGTCCTGCTGTTTTCCCACATTTCAGTAGCTTTATGGCGTTCAGGACTTTTACTTTTGTTGGAGGATTTATGTTCACTTGTAGTTCTGTGACTGTGCTGCAGGTGGTGGTCTATTCAAGCTCTTCTTGAAGTGGTCGGCCCATTGTTTCTTTTATTTCCTTTTTTGATAATTATACTTCCTTCATCATCTTTTATTGGTTTTGTCTGCGTTGATCTCTTCCCTCCCAGATAGTAACCTGGTTATTTGATACAATGTTGTCAGGTCTCTCCTAAATGCAGCCTGCAGCCTGTTCTGCTTCACTTGCCAGTATTTCGTAGAAGTGTCTTTTGTCTTTGCATGCACTCTTCTTCACTTCTTTCTCCAATGTTTTATACATTGTGCTCAGTTCCTCATGTCGCTGAGCATCCTTGCACTGGTTTATCTTCTGCTTCACCATCCTCCTCTCCCTGCTCCATCAGCTTCCATGTGTCCATCGAGATCCATTCCTTATCTTCCTCATTCTTCCTTCCTAATACGGTTGTGCAGGTTTCTTTCCACATCTCTTTCAAAGACTTCCAGTGTTCTTCCACACAGGTTTCTTCATGGATGTTCCTCGATATCTCCCATTTTGTCTTGATGGCTGCCGTGAAGATCTACTTTGTAGTTTCATCCTTCAGTTTCCGAGTGTTGTACTTGAATTGAGGTCTATCACCAACTTCCTTGAAGGCTTTCAACTTGATTTGGAAGGCAGGTTCCTTGCACTAGATAGTGGTGTGAGTGGTCTGAATCTACATCTGCTCCTATTCTTGACCTTGTGTCAAGTAGGCTGTCTGCGTCTCCACTTTCTTGAGATTGAGATGAAGTCGATCTGATTTTTAGTGTAGTGTGTCCATCTGGTGTCTGGTGACATCCATGTGGCTTTGTGGATGTCCTTGTGCTTGAACACACTACCTCACCTCCAATCACCAAATCGTTGAATGCACAGAATTCTGCAAACAATTATCCATTCTCGTTCATCACCTCACAGAGTGCTTCTCTACCCATGGTTAGTTCTCTTCCTGTGTTGTCCACTCCTCGCAGTTTGGCATTCATGTCACCCCACCAATTAGAATTTTGATATCGCCAACTGGTATGGGGTCTTGTCCAGTGTTGATAGCAGTTGTCTGTAGAATTCCTCCTTCTTCTCTTGCTCTGCATTATTTGTAGGTGCGAAGCGTAGCATTGTATGATTGTGACCTTCCTTCCTTTTGAGTTGAAGCTTGCTGTCATGATCCTGATCGTGGAGGAGGAGATTGATTCCCACTGCATGAGAGAGAGCCTTCGATGTCCTTGTGATGGGGACATCATGATAGCCACTCCAAAACTCAGTGTGCTCGTGGTTGTCGTGTGTGTGTGTGACAACATCGGGGTAGATTATTAATTCTCCAGTTGACAGTTTGGAGAGTCCACTACCTTTCCCATGTCCCCACGTTTATTTTCGCTTTCATCGAGAGAAGAGAAGACACATGGGGTAATTGGCTTCCTGAAGGCTTTCACCAACCGGCATCATTTCGCCTCTCGGATTCCAGTGAGGAATAATTTTGTTATTATTGTTTATATATCGTTTGTGCTTTGAAGTTTCTTTGGTTGATGTATTTGTTTTCCGGGGTAGGGTTGCTAGCCGTATTCTGAACCTTCCCTGTTCACGCGGGCTTAGGACCGGCTAGTAACTAGTGAACTAGTTAACCAGGCGAGGTTAAGGGAAACAGTAAATAACGATATTTGATCGTGGGATACATCTGTTAAACGAAACAAAATGGAATAACAATCTGTGTAGTGTCCAAGGTTTCTTTTGTATTGATAGTACTCGTCACTTTTCGAATACAACTCAGGATGGTAATGACTTGAAACGACTCCTTACTTGCTTCGAGGAGGTATTGTTGAATTATGGTACAACTTCCGCAACTGAATGGACTTTGGTGAGAGATGCCCTTAGTCGTTTGTTTTTCTTCATCCTGAACGGTTATTTTTCACTGTATATTGTTTCACGTTGGCATTTTCTTACATATTTGCTGCTAAAGATCCTTCGAATATATCGGAAAACTTTTTAAAGTGGTCTGATAATCAAACCCGGTCCCGAAATCGATTTTCTGATAAGGAATGTTAACAAGTCAAAATAATCCGGAACCATGTTTCATTCCTTTAAAGATGAAACGCGATAACAAAAGCTCATGGTAAATAGTCGCTGTTAGATAAAATTAGTAGCCATTCAATGAGTGTATCAATATATCAGTAGCTTTCTCCGATAAGCTATAACTGACTTTCTGACTAAATTAAGTATAATTTGTTTGTGAATAATGACTAAAGAAAGAAACCAATGGGTCGCAGGAAACACACCTACCATTGTTCTCTGCCAGTCAGTACACAATCTCATGAAAGGATAGAACAATTGATTAGTTTTATCCCTTAAACAGTTCACTAAAAATACTTTGTAGAAATGTTGTTTAACGTATTTCTCTATCACTGAAGTGTCCATTTCAATAGGATTTCTAATGACAGACCAGATGCTACTCTTTGTCTTTCACGTCTCACGTAAGAACTGTTTAACCAGGCTTACATGTCAGTTCTGTCACATTTTCTCTTCGAATTGAGGTTTCCTGTGAACATTTATAGAATATCACATGAATATCTCTGTGACAGCTACGGGCATAGTCAAGCTCGTTTGTCTAAACTGTTTTTTCATCGATTGTAAAGGAAGCATTTATATGCAACTAATCTGATCACCATTCCTCTTCATGACCACTTTCACCGCAGTCAGTCAACAAAAAGGTGTTATTGTGAGTGGCATAGTGTCACTTCTGCATTTTTTATAAACTGTTGTGTGTTTTGTCATTGGAGTCTATCAGAAGACATGATTTACCTCTGGAGGGTAACCAACTTTATGTTATCTGGTCCTAAGTGCTGGTCGAATTCTCTCTTTCTGTCGTTTCCCTATAGCGTTATTGGCTGTAACTGAGACGAAACTTCACTTCACTATATAGTACGCTTCATATTGCTTTACTTAACGTTTACTGTCATAGCAACTTAACTAACAGGGGAGGACACGACCATTTCATAGATGCTTATAACATATGCGAAATACACCCTGAAATTCAGTAGCGCCTCAAAACCATGAATTGTATGCTGGGCAGAGTACAAAACTTTATTTAAAAAATATGTAATTAAATTAATTTTTACTTTACAAATAAGGGTTTCTATATTTATCTTGATATCATCTATTGCAAAGTCAGTTCATTAAAAAAATTTCTACTTTACATTTTTATACAGAGCTTATTATTGTTATTGGATAAAAACTCAGTACACTATCCTGAGCTTCAAAGAATATATAAAAGATTGTTGGAAGAATCGTTGAATTCAAGGGAGGAGGATGAAGAGATCAGTACACATGTGGGTAACAATAAACAAGTCTTGTTAAAGTAGTATCTGTTTTAGAAACTTGTCGTTTACTGAGAAATACTCATCTCTACTACCACCTTAATGTATAATAAGTTTTTTCGTTGTGCATGTAAAGAGTTCATTGTAGCTAAGGCAATTTTATACGAGGTGTTCAGCCCCATAAAAGATTGGTTTTCATCACTACATAGTTCCTAATCATTTCTAAACGTTCTTTTCCAAAGAAGTTGAGTTATCACACATACCTCTTCTTAAATTATCCTTATCATGACAACAAAATAAGAAACCGATAGATGTCATTACATTTACAAGAAAAACCTTTTCACTCTTCCATTCAACATAACCGTTGATGAAGGTTGAATCAAGAGGAATTATATGCAACCAAACAGTTCTCATGCACAAAGCAGCTGGATGTTGTAGCCTGTAGTCTAGAATATTGTCAAGCTATGTCTCGTTTGTTATACAGTGAGAGAAATGTGTTAATTAAGGAGGGCATTAGTTTGTATTCAGAAAAAGTCATACAACCAATAGACAGCGAGGAAGTGTGATGACTAAATTACTTAAAGTTCTAAACTTTGTTCGCCTGACTGGAATATATTTCAAGTAAAGGATAGCAAAATTCTAATAGGCCATATAAAAGTGCTATCAAATGAGACTTTGCTAAAACACTGAACACTTGATGAACAAGTCCAAGCTTGAACGTTTTAGAAGCTGCTGATTATACTGTTCTACCACATCAGGTGTTTAGGGTTCGGAGTTTATTGGAGTGTTAATTAAACAAGTAACTCTGTTACACTATGATACAACAAACTATTACTTTGTGAGCATTGGTAGTATTTGGCGTACTCAATAAGATGCGTTTACATTTCTGCTGATGATTTTTAAATAATTTACACAGCATTACACTTTAAGCATTTACTATTTATTAGTCTTTTCAATCATATCCGCTCATTTATACCAGTCTAAATGTGGGTTTTAAATCAAGTGATAGTTTTACTACTAATCAGATATGTCAATCAGAGAGAAAAATTTCGGGTAGGAATTTTTTTCTATGACCTAAATTTTCTGAGAATTTTATTCATCAACCTTATTATCGGTATAAATCAGTGTACCAGTGAAATCTTTTTAATAAAAGATTACTTCTATTATTTACGTGTACCAAGTGTAATGCGTATCGCCATGATACTTTTATTCTAACAAAATCCTGTATCTTTTTCTGTTCAGTTAAGTCTTTGTGACTAAAATCGTTAAATTTTTCATTATTTTATCCATTGTATTGCATTCATTATGCTGTTCATATGTATTTCTTGAAGATAGCAACTCTTCGTAAATTTGATTTTCGATTTTGGGAAACAGACATCAAATGGAATTCAACTTCGTCATATTATCTATGGCAAAATTTCAGTAACTCACATGTGCGATAATTATTTTAGACAAAAAATATCATAACACCAAATTACAGTCATAAAACAAGTATACGCTACTAATATATACAATTCTTAGCTGGACAGTCAGTGTGAGTACGATTAAGCGATAGCAACGCGTCACGAATTCACATAGTGATGGGGTTAAGCCCTTAGTAATTGAAGTAAAATAAAAATATGGTCAGCAGTCGGACCTCATGGCTCAATTGGTAGAGAACCGAGCAGGAAACCCGGTGATCGCTGGTTAGAGTCCTGCCTCGATCAGGATTTCCACTTCACCTTCACTCACCAATCAATGGCAGTACTAGTCTGCTAAACCATGGGTACCTCATATAGTCAAATGATAATCAATATGATGCTCCTCCTCTCTGATTCAGTTAGATTAGAATTAAGATGAGACGTTTTGGCTAGGCAATCAGTGTGAATACTATCAGGCATCGGGAGTTCAAATGGCATTCGGAAAAAACCCCACCTTTTGATTGAAGTGAAATAAAAATCTGGTCAGCAGTCGGGTCTCGTAGCTTCATTGCTAGAGCAGTAGGCCGGAAACCTGATGGGTGCTGGTTCGAATCCTGCCTCAGTCAGAGTTTTTATTACACACCCACTCATCCTCTTGTAATTTGTTTGACAAGAATAGATGATAAAAGATAGCTTCATGTCTCTTTATTTATCTCATGTGATAGATATTCAATGTAGGTTTTCACTCTAAAGCTCACTCACTGACCTTAGAGCTATTATTATTAGAATCTGAAGGAATGCCTATAAAACTAGATAGCATCTTTCAGGTTTATGGACAGATGACAGTTACCACTGAGGTAAGAGTTACCAGGCAGCTATTTGTATGGAAATACAACCAATATATCCACTTATTTCCTGCAATATTCGGAAATGATATTTATTAAAGCAGTTTGAAGTAAATTCCATTTTAGTGGCACGAAACAGAGACTGTTTCAGTATGTTCTTACGTAATATACACGATCAATTTGTTATCTGACACAGCCGGTTACACACAAATGACTAGTGTATTCTGGGTTATCCTTATGCTTTACTATGGTGTGTTGTGAAGCCACTAATTTCTAAACTCTGCTTATGACTGGACCAGTAATCAAAATCACTTATGTGACAGTCTAGCAATTTATAATAACATATGAATTATGAGATCAAATTATACCATAATTTAGGAAGTCCTTAAGGGAGATATTTAGGCTAGAATGTCACTTTAGTATTTTGTAGCTAAGTAAATGTAACTTAAAAGGATCAAAATTCAGCAGTTGCAAGTATAGAGAAAGCATGTAATAAAGCTATCAGATAACTGTTTAAATAATATTTGTTTGATATGCGAATTAATACACTAAAATATGGCTTTTCAAGCCTCTTTCTACACTCACAAATATGAATTCATCAACCCGTTTGTCTTACTGACCAGTGTCACTAAGTACGAAACATTGACTCTCAGTTTCTTATTTGTTGGTTTTCGTTAGCTGATACCAACAATTTCGTTGCCAAAAATTACTTGTTGTTCAGCTGTTTTTAAGTCCCTTAATGAGATTTATTTAGCACTAAATTAGAGAATCTTTGATTTAGGTTTGTTTTGCTTTTATCAGTACAGCTTAATGTGTCATTAACTGTTAGCGAGTGAAAAGGATTTAATTTGTTTCAGCCTATGCATTTTGATCTTTTTTTACCACAGGATTCAGATCACTTGATTATGCATAGTCTAGTTGTGGAGTTGGCGGGTAAAACAAATAGTCGTAAACTGCGTTATCTATTTCTATTCAAAGATGTGTTAATTTGTGCGAAACCAAAATTGGTCACTAGTTTAAGGTGAGCCTAATGCCTCTGGCTAAATTCTAGAAATTAATTAGATCATTTTAATGCTGTATGTGTGTGCATAGGAATATTTAGGTCGTACTCTAGTAGATGACTGTTGACTGAAGCAACTAATTTCTAAGTCGATTTTGCCTTTATTTTAAGAAGAAATAAAACATGTCAGTAATTATATGTGATGAAGTCCATGAGATATAACTCTGCCAGGTGTCACAAACAAATCAACAAGAGGCGCTGACTTTTGTCTTCATAGTTGTTGAAACTGGCTAAGAGACAGAATCTGAATACATGAAGCAACTTGTATTTCAGTCGGTGATGTACACTCACACAACTGAGTATGTTAGCTACAGATTTTGTCACCAGCTTTTCAAGCCACTATTGTCAGCTTATAAGGTTTGATAATGAATACAAATTGACTTATGTGTCAGGCCCTTAGTCCTTGTTCACTACTACTGCTAACACCATGGTGATTGATTTGTGGAGCATTTGGTAAATATCTTTCTGCTAACTGAGGAATAAAGTTTTCTGCAGTGCGTAATTACTTATGAGTGCTCTTCAAAATCCATATGCATGTTCATTCAAAAATACACAGTCGCCAAGAAGGGCACATATCGATGGATGCAAGTGTCGATGTGCACTCACTACTGATAATCATTTAAGAAGTCCTATATTCTACGAACATAGATGTAAAAAACATGAGACAAAGTATTAAAAGTTCAAGTATTCGTGTACAATATGCATACATCAAAAGCAGAGAAAACTGCTATTCTAATACATGCAATAAAGAAATAGCAGTATACAAGAACCTTGCTTTGTGATGGCTAACTTCACTTGCTTGAGCTTCTTATTCTAAAAATTCATACTACTGGTATCGTCCTACTTATAACAGAAGATAAATTTCTGGACTTGATAATCTGCTAGACATTTCGGTAGCCTTATATCAGCTTACTAATATGGACTAATAATTCTAACTATTCCTTCTTCACTTTTCTTTACTAGACAAAAGTTATCACATGATGATCCGTCACAGAATGAATTACGATTCCGAAGAAACGTGTCGCTTAAATTACCTATCTCAGGTCATGAGCTTGAAATAAAATGGTTCATTTACACAGACGACATCTGCTTGCTGACAAATTCCAGGTTTGGAAATGGTAAGTATGGTGATTTTCATGTTTGATTACTCACTGCTTTATGTATTACAGTTCTTTTCTTCAAGAAAAATGAAATTAACAACTTTGTTGATTGGTAATAACGGACTGAATAAACAAAGAATACAATGCGATGGGTATTTATATAAAACTTAACTTCAAAACTCAGAATTACTTGGTGATGAGTGAAACCAATGCCTGTAGCTTCTTGTCAGTATCTGAAAACCATAACACTGCCGTTCCATTTCAGTTTATTTATTAAATATATCACACAGTGAAATAGTATTATTTACTGAATAACGTTTCAGATACAATTTATCGTCCATATCCATATGAACATAACATTGTCATTCAGTCTGAAAAACAACTAATTGCTTTAACGAGGTATGTATACTACGGATGAAGAAGTCACTTTTTCACTAGCTGCTTAAATACTGCACAGAATAAGCTTTTAATGTGAAATTCGGTTGGCTATGCTAGTATAAAAATCTACCTTAAAACATCCATTTATGAAAATGAATAAAAGTTTATCACTGAAGTTCAGTCAAATGAAAATACCCCCTATACGTCTGCCCAAGGTTTAAGTAAACAGATGATTGTTGAAGACTAAGCGCTTATACTTAAGAATTATTCAGTTGTCCAACGGTTTTAATGTGGGGTCTGCAGGACAAAAACGAAGATAAAACTCATAATGAATGGATAATCGTTTGACTCATATTTGAAACTCTTTGCCTGAAACAAAGTCAGAATCTCACTCCTTACCTACAGTATCTCACTTATCAATCACTGAATGGGAACTTAACTACTTTTAAGCTATGCTGTAGTTGCACCCCTTAGGCTTTTTAAAATTCAGTCTGAAACATTTTCTTTTAAAACACCTGTACTATCTAGTTTTTATTATTCTAAACATTAAGATAATAATAATGATGAAACACTTCCAAGCTTGTCCTTCGAACTGGAAATAATGATTTAATTCAGACACTCAAGATTTCGGAAGAATTCTGAATAAATTACCAACTGGTCAGTCCATATACGGTTTTACATGCGTTTGTTTGACACTGCTAGTATTATTGTTACAAAAATCTTTGAAGCCGAAGCGAAGTTACTCAACTAAAGCCTTTCTGGTTTACCTGTTTTTAATATAATGGGTTAAGCTGAAGTAAATAATTTATGAAAAATAACAGAATGCTTCTTGCGAAGATTATGACCTTATGGTGAACTGGAATGTTTTCTGATAAACTTTTAAGAGCGAGCTTGCTTAATAAGCTTTAATTTAATTAAAATGCTTTGACACCTATCAGATATTTAAGTTGGGAAGACTTTGTTACATATCGTCTACTATGATTGTTCGGCTGAAAATTTGATAATGAGGATGTATATCATAGCATTTCCAAGGAAACAAACTATTTCGTTCCCTTAATATCGTGCAGTACAACCTCTGCTGATGCATATTCTAACCCACTCTCCTTTACAAGCAAACTATAGTTAGAATTGTTCCTTAACCCATTGCTTTTTGTTTTAAAATTGTGTACATAGGATGGCCCAAGCTTACAGTCCTGAAATCCGCCCCAAACAGTTGTAGATAATCTCAGTTACATAAAAATTGCTACACTGACTTTAGTTACATGTATAGTAAGGTTTAATTTACATGTACAAATTATGCCAAAGATATTGAATTTCACATTCACCGGTTACTGGAGGGCAACCAACTTCATATAGTCTAGTCCTGAGTGCTGATTCAATCCTATCGGTCATTCCGTAATGTGACCACCAGGCTAGGAGGCTCACCATCGTGTTGCACTGAGAGAGGTGTTAGTTAAATGCAGACGATCGGCACAGAGTCCTGGAACTAGGCTCCATACGTTTTGGCACTTGTCAGTAAGGGTGACGCAGGTTCCTCTCTTACGCGTGGTATAATTTACATCTTGCTTGCAGATAAGCCTTGCTGACGAGTGCCAAAAAGCAGGAAATCTAGTTTTTGGGTTTCGTGCCGATTGTCTTCATCCAACTAACATATTGGGTTTTATCAGTCAACTGATTACGATTAGTAATCCTGTTTTCTAGTTCCATTATTAGTAAATGTAAGCAGTCATTCTGTCTTTTTACTAATTTTGTTGTAAAATACATCTTAGATGACAGAGGTCGACTACAACAGCAAAGAGATCTGGATAAGCTAAAGGGTATGGTTCGTAATTTACGGCACACAATGAGTCATAGTTCAGGGGTAAGTTATTACTCATTTGCTACTTTAAAGTGAACATATTCAAACGTACTTTACTGTTACATTGGTAATCACTTTAAGTTAAAGCATCTTCAACTGCGGCATTATCAATCATCGTTTATTATTCGATATCTACCAGTGACTTTATTTGTCATCATGGTAAAGACTAAAATAATCAAATAGATTTCTTTATTTTTACTAAGAGGGTGATATTTTTGTAAAATACAGAAACCTAGTTGTTTGTTTTAAACGTTGTCAAGGTGGCCCTTAGAGTTGTTCACTATTTATTTCTAACCAGAAGGAAGAATTTTAAAGAAGGTGTACATACTATCGGGAAAATCACTATCCGTCTCACAAGTTTATATGCTCCTGACTCCAACACAATCGATAATTAAATGTTATCCAGTGAATTATCGATTGATAGCTTAGACAGTATATTACCAGATCATACCAACACCACCCAATTTATTTTAGAAGGCTGGTGCACTTTGTCAGTAACCATGGCTGCAGTTCATAGTCTCACAGAAATATGCTATGAATGTTTCAGCTAATGCTATGCTATTACTATGAGACTTGGATTTCCGCTCGTTCGGACATAGGCCAATTAAAAACTGCATTAGTTTGCAAATGTTTAGTTTAGATATTGGCATACTCTGTACAAATAGTGCTGTATGGCAACCTAATGAGCGACGTATTCCTAAATAATGTTCGACCAATCAGGTTTTTTCAAGTGTCGAGACTAATACATTTTCTCAATTGTAGGTAAAAACAGTCCAATATAGTCAGGTGTAATTTCGAAATGGAGTGAATTTTCCCGCAAAAGGATCCATCTGTCATCCAAAACGAGTACGATAGCTGATTGTTTTAACTAAACCAACACTTCTGAAGTGAAATTTTTACATTTTATTGCTAGAAGAAAAGTGTATACTTGCTCTGATATATTCGAACATAAATTATTTGTCGATTCTTGAATGTCTCAACTAACTCAGTTGTTGAGTCGTAATCTCTTTATCTACTGAAACATACACTAATGTTGATGGACAATTCTCACTAATATCATATTAGGGTAACAGTTTACCATTTGTCTGACAAAACGTATTTTAAATCAGTCAGCTTCGCTTCCGTTCACTTGACACATAGCAATAAAGTGAGATTTTGTCATTCTTCTCATATTAATCTCGCTTCTTTTCATCTTTAGGAAAGAAGGTCATCAAAGAATTCATCAAAATTAACAAATCTAAGTAAATTAGTAAGTCCAAATCAATTTTATCGCTGACATGTTAATGAGAAGATGAAGATTGAGGTCATCAGTTGTATCAGTTTGGTTAACGCTAGGCTCAGGCTACAACATATGACTAGTAGTTTGATCAGTTTGTAAATTCAAAAATAAACTAGATAACACTGATAACGACATAATCTTTGATCTGAATATTGAATAGTAGATTAAATAAAGCTTTTAAACTTGATGAATTACAAGTTGAGCCGTCTTAGTAATGATTAAACTATCTTTCGTGAACTATTCAGTTCTCAGTTGAATTATTTCCTATCTTTCTATTCAACCAAGTTTCCGGTATCAAATTCTGAAAATTTCCAGCAATACCATCCTGTCTGCGTGGCAGTTGTCAGAAAGCAAATGATATCATAAATAAAGATATGCTGTTACAATTTTTGTGAATCCATTGGTATGATCTCATTAACGAACCACTCAGTCACCGGTAAATCACAAGTCATAAACGAGAAGACTGAAAACACCCTCTGACAACCTAACTGTTGTTTAATGCAGTCAGCAAAGCTTGTGAAATAATAGGATTTTTGTTTTGACTGTCAGGGGAGATAATCGTGAATTAAAGTTTTGCAGAATCGGATCCAAATGTTGACTTTAATTATTAAACATAATGTTTTGATGATTTTAAATTACTTAATTTGTGCTAAGCTTAGTTAAAATTAGTTAAGAAAAATTATGATTCTTCTGCTTCACTTAGTACATAGAACTTGAAGTTTGGAGATGTTTATGAGAGTAAGGGAACATGATATAAGCAAAATCTTCACAGCTGACACTGTAATCATACAAAGAAGTATGATTGTGTAGTTCTGAATCACTTCTTCAAGTTAAGTAGATTTGGCAAAAATGTCGATATATGTCAGTCAGGTGTTGCTGTTTTGAGTGATGCCTATTTTGTATGATCATTAATACTAAAACGGAATTTAAGGTGCACGTCTAGGTGGGAACAATCCTAAAGCCGACAGGTATCCAAATGCCATACCTCTGGTAAGAAACGAGAACTTATCCAACTTTCATTTGAAGGAGAGGTTAGTTCTTGATGAACTGAGAAAAGAATTTAATGCTGATTATGAAATATGACCACGCAGCCAAAGTGATCAAACGGTATAATAATACCTACTCAATAAAACAATCTAAGACGAAGTGATATCCTGTTGATGTCAGCTCTAGCTGTATCTACAAATCCCATGCATAACTGTCGAAATACCTTTGTTAGAAGAATCGTAAAAAAAGATACTACTAAGTTTTCTGGGCATGTTACAAAAACCCTATGATTTGGAAGAGGCAGGACACTTTACAAGTAAAATGGAAAGGGATGTAGTTGAAATAGGACAGAAGCTGGTTTTCACAGCATGCACAAAAATATAGAAAAGAATAAGCATACCTTTTACTGTGGAAGTCATTGCCATCAAACTTTGTTGATCCTACTTCAGTACGCAACAAGAATATTTAGCTGGCCTGTCAATGCTTAGGTAGGCTGAAGTTGTACTTCGATTCCCTACTTCTTACTGATGTGCTAACTTTAACTCATTCGGATGAACGTTTTTGTTGTCATTTATCTACTTACGGCATCCCTCATTCAATACTCCTAAGTTTTATCTTCTGGACTTTATCACATCAATAAATATATATTTTGATGACTGTTTATAAATTTCACCGTTTGTTGATCCCCTGTTTCGTTAGTTTTATTCTGAAACCTACTGATAGTAATATTTGAAACCTTGGAATGTTTGTAGCTGAAGAGGAATCATAAGAATTCAATTTGCATACTTTATTTTTCAAACTGTATTGTTTCTACCTTGTTCGACTATATCTAAGGAACAAAATGCGTGAGATGCGTTTATTAACCTTAGCATATTTTACTTCACCTTAAAGGTTTCGTAATCAAGTTATCCAGACTATTAGTATTGAATATACTTACGTTATATAGGCATCGTATGAGGCTGAATTATATCACTGACACAACAGAATATTGAAAAATATGAGAAGAAATCCATATTCTATCACATTATTGTACTAAAGTTGGAATAACAATGACGTTTTTATGTATATTCTGTCAGTGAAATAATTTTTCTTTTGTTTTAAACAGGAAGGTAAACTTGTACTGGAAACACCGCAACTCATTTTACCAATTGCTGACAAAAACTCTAGAGTACACAATATCCTACTGACAACAGAGAGAGAACGGACACATTGGAGATCTGCCCTGGAACAACAGTCAAACAAACACCATTTCAAGAGCGGCTCTTTAGATATTCCGAAAATCAGTACTCTAGAAAAAGCGAATTCAGAGAGTTCCTTGGCAGTATCTCGAAATCCTACACTGACAGAATTACACGAGCGTCTGAAGAAATATGAACATGTAAGTTAATCGTGTTACAAATGAGTGAATCTTAAATATTTCATGGATCATTAGTTATATAGACGTGTAGGTCTATAATAGCTTTGGACATCTATCATGTTCACTACAATCAACATGAACTGATCATGTAAATATTTTTATAACATTATTCTCATTACAACAAAACAGATGTCAGTAAAACAGCTCATAAACTATTTCATGACCGATAAACCGCTGTAAAAAATCTGCATGAACGGTGCCATCATTTCGAGTGATATGGACAAGTATGAAAAAACTTTGATGAAATTTGAACCCTAGTTATGGGCTGATTTCATAGTCTACCAACTAAATACTACATGTCACTCATGAAATCTTAAGATGAAGATATGATAAAGCACACTTTATCAATTACTCATCACCTCCATACTATTCCGTACACGTTATTCAGTCGATGTGACTATGTGACTAGTTTTATATCATTACCCTTTTACATTTTTTCAGTTGGTTGTAGCAGAGTTTCGTAGATACCTATAAAATTTATGTCGTCACTCAAAATGCATTTGTTTGGTAATTATTCGGCAAACAATACTTCATTAACCAAATTGTTTTAGGACTCTGACTCTTTCTAACTTCATAATGTAATTGTCCAAAGATTGACGTCCATTGAAGGGATCTCCAGTTTGATCTTTAGTGTTAAGGTATGATCTCCTAAAATATTCTTTTGATCCATATTATGCATCCGAAAGAAGCCTCTAAACATGATTGATGATTTGGGCTTATGTGAAGAGAAATTTATACCAGATACTATAGTACTGCGCACTATTCAGTCTAACCAGTATGCGTGGATTTCATTACACGTTCATATATTCAGCAAGTGAGTATCTGGAGGCAGTAGACACTTAGAAGTCAAAATATTATGCATCAGGTTACATTTTCCTACATAAATATATTGAAAGCTTCTAGCATGGGGTCTTAATATAAAGTAACGCCGCACTTATAATTGATCTCCATCTATAAAACATGTCAAGAAATTTTTTGGCATATTTGAAGCCATATTGCTTTGATATACAAAAAGAGAAACACCTTAATTAAATTCTTTTGTGAACGGTTTTCATTCAGTATTCCAAATCTTCTTCTAGTGTTACTTGACATTAATTGTGTAACCTTCTTCTATTGCAGAATCTTATTTCGAAGACTTTGCAACTTACATGAGCATTATCTTCTTACCATTTTCATTTTTTGTGCCTTACTGGTTTAGCTTAAAAAACCTGAATATATATGAAACTGGAATGCCCTCCTGGATAAAAACTAACTGCCGTTCCTTCGTATGTAAACAGGATGCTTGTCTGAAACTGTTTTGATAGTGAGAGTTTTCTACGCATACTGCCTAGGTTGGTAACAGTCAAAGTAGTTTACACAGCTTTGAAAATAAAATAAAATTACCGCTTCAGGATGATTCCAATCTCCTAATAAAAGAGCAGTAAGTTTGAGTTCTGTGGTAGGATGGAAGGAGATTTGTTTGTTTGACAAATCGTAAAATGCAACTGTAATGTTTGCTGAAAAGTGTTTTAGACACGAAAGTGGTCAAATAACTTCCGAATTTCATTTTCCTAGTCCCATAGCCTCTAATTTATGAGTTACTACATCAAATAAATAGAAATAATGTGGAAAAGTAAGTATGCTAATGTAAGATTTGTAAGTTGTTACCCTCACAACTAACTCATTATTGGATAAATGAACTGGCAATCGCTTGGTCAATGCTTACAAATAAGCGAATTACAATATGTTTGGCTTATAAGTAAGAGAACAGATTAAAGGCGTACCAGGTTACTTATAAAGAGACGGAAGTGAATCGCTTTTCCTAAAAGGTCTTGCAACAAAAGTAGTAATATATTAGTAGTAAAATCTACTACTTGAATGAAT